GTGGGGGCAGATGCCTCAGTCCTGGGTTTCATAAATAACAGGGTACGGCAGAGGGAGAAAGGCGGCTGCAGGGGAGCTAGCGAGGGACTGGGAAAATGAGACGGATCGCTTGGGATCTGTCTTCGAGTGGTTTCTTTTTCTGTGCTCCATAGCGCTCGCACGCGTGCTTTTTTTTCCAAAACGAGGAACAGAATCGAAAGCCTGTTAATAAATGGGATGCCCTTAAGAAAGAAGCTTCTCAGAGCAAATCCTTCTGGCTGCTCTGGGCCTGATCCTGCGTCATTTAAGCCCAGAGGTGGCACAGCCCCACCGGGATGCCTTGTGCTGCGCTACCGGGACGGCTTCTCTTCTCGTGAGCCTTTTGGGGACCTGTCAGCATTTGCCACGTCCCTTTTCTCGAGGCTGGGCATCCGAAATCACCACCTGCCTTTTTCTGTCCTGCAAGTTAGGGGTAGGGAGTTGAGTTTCTCTGGTCCTTCGTACTAGAGATGCTCTTGCCAAAGATGCAGCTGCAACAGCTCAGTCTTTTCACAAGGGTTTTGCAGACTCAGCTGGCAGAGCTTCCCAGAAACCCTTCCCTGCACCGGACAGGCTCCAGCAGCATCGCACCGCTGGACTGAGATGCCCTCGGACGGCGCCCAGCGCCGCCAAGCATCCCCACGCCGATCTGGCGCTTCCCCTGCCGAGGACAACCTGGCTTGGGGGATTATCTCACGTTTGGACCCCAACCCAGCTTCGCTCTCATCCAGGGATCATTTCATTAATGGGAATCGTGGGCTTTTTCCATGGCTTCGGCTGAACCTCAGAAATATTTTGAATAGTTCCATGAAATATTTGCTTGAAAGACATCTTTAGGGAAACAACACGTCAGCGTAAAAGCATCTTCGGGAAGAAAACATTGTTGATAGCTCCCTTCCAGGTTGCGTTACGGGCAGGTAGGGGTTCACATCCCCTGGCGCAGAGTTTGGGGATTCACTCTGACTTCACCAAACCCACCGTCTTCTCCGTGCTGCCACGGCCGTGGTGGGATGAGGTGCTGGAGATATCTGCACCCAGTTTAATCAGGAGGCGGCTGGAAACTGGGTAGTTTGGGGAGAGAAAAGAGCCGCATTTCAGCAGGTCTGCAGTTTCTGGCCATCGCAGGCTGCTGGTTTATGTCCTGGTGTCCAGTCCTTGAAGCTCCGTCTTAATTTATCTTAAGCTTCAATTTATTTTTGCCCACCACCATTTTAATTGATCCTAAGCAGTGTATCTTTCCCCACCGCCATTCCCATACCCTCATCCCTGCCCTCAAGCCTCAGTCCTTTGACGGGCACCACCTAGCCAAATCCCAAAGGCAGTGGGATTTGAGGGTGGTTTGTGCACCTGGTTTCTCTTAACACAGCTTTCTCTTAATCCATGGGACTCGGATTAAGGATTCTGGCTCCAAGGTGTCGCTTCTCCATGGGTTCATAGCTCAAACTCCAGATTTCTCTGCCCGAGTCAAGCTAGAGCAGCGCAGAATATCTTCTTATCATGATTTGCTGGGGTGGGTATCATCCCCCAGCGGTAATACGGCTCGTTTGTGTAGGAGTGGCTGTACTACAGACCAAAAGGTCCCGTCTCCCGTGGGTTCCTAGCACGGGGTGTCCATGGGTAGCGCAGGAGTATCGCCGTGCTTCTCCATGGTCCGTGGCTCAGGTCCTTGGAGGTGGCCTGTGTCCGAGGTGCTCACAGGGCGGGTGGGAACCCAAAACGCCGTACCCTCTTCCTCCAGCCAAGCTTCCCTCTGAGGCTGCGTAAAAATAGGAGAGACAGCACAAACTATTTCCCATTTTCAAGTCGATCTTCTGAGCCTGGTCTCTCCAACCAGGCGTGCTGCTGTTTGCAGCCCAGATGAGCAGCTCAATGCCAGCAAACCCTGCAGAGGAAGGCAGAGGAAGGCAGCATCACCTTCTGAAAAGCCTGGCCTTGGTCCTTCCTCCCAAGCAAGCCAAAAGAAACCATTTCCATCCCTCCAGGGTTTGCTAAGCCCCGGGGAGCGGGTGTGCGGTGCCCTCCTCGACACGGCGCTCACACGGGCTGGCCCCAGGGTTGAGGGTTACATGCAGCAGCGTTGTTACGAGCGAGCTGCCCCGTGCCAGGCACGTCCTCCGTCCCCTCCGAGCTCTCCCGGGAGGGGTCGGGTACTGGTGGGGCTCAGCAGTCATATTCCCCCCCCTTTCCTTCACCAGGGCGGCGGGCTGGAAGCCCTGACGGAGCGGTTCCAGCCCCAACAAGCCACCCCACCACTCATGATGGAGCAGAAACCCGGCATGTATCCCCAGCCTTACTCCTCTGCCTCTCCCACCGCCAACCTCCCCGGCGCCTTTCCTGGCATGGTCAGGCAGAAGCCGTCCTTCGGACCCATGCCGGTGCAGGTACCGCCGCCCCGCGGCGCCTTCCCCACCAACATGGCCATGCAACCCCGGCAGACGCTCAACAGACCCCCGACGGCCCCCAACCAGCTGCGACTTCAGCTGCAGCAGCGGCTGCAGGGGATTCTCCCCCCGCCGCATCCCACGGCCACGGGCAGCAGGACAGAGGGACCCTTGGTCCCACCTGCAGCCCACGTATCCCAGTCGGAAGGGATCGGATGGGTGGGAAGCTCCTGCATCAGAGTTCTGAAGGTCTCCTTGGCTTTTTTTTTTTTTCCCTTCCCCTCCAGCTGATCCATCAAAACCGGCAAGCGATCCTCAACCAGTTTGCAGCCAGTTCCCCGGTGGGCATCAACATGCGGGCAGGGATGCAGCAGCAGATCACGCCGCAGGTAAGGGGGATGCGGCACGCTCCTCCGGCCGAGAAAAATTGGGGGTTAATCCCCATGCCCCCCCTGTTAGCACAGCCGGGCTCGCTCCTCTCTGTCATTAAAGGGAGAGAAAAGTTCTCCCACGTGCAGAGAGGTGGCCGCAAAATGAGCTGCTGTAGGTTGGTGGTTTGTTTTTTTTTTTTTGCTTCACCCTTATTCCAGCTCCTCCACCTGCTTAAGGTATAAATACTTCGTTATTGCTTAGAGAAGAATGTGCTAACGCATTTAATTGAGAAGGATCTTTAGGAACTAGATGCCATCCTTTAAATACCAGAGTCTCTAGTGAATCTTCTTAATGATCCTGCAAATCCCCAGACCCTAAAGTTCTCGTTTGGCTTCTAATAAAGTGAATAAAACATCTGCTGGGTACGAGGAGAAGTTGGAAAGCACAGCCGAGTTCTGGTGATTTTATTCCACTTCTCAGAGAAGCCTTTGACTTTTTGGGAAGCGGCGTGACGTCCCTAATGTGCCGTGGGAAGCGTTAGTGATAGGGAAGAGGACGGAACGGTTCCCATCGTAGCTCCAATTTCAGCCGCTGATGGCTTTGTCAGGCTTTTTAAGGTGATTAATTCCAACACATCTGGCTCGGCCATATGGGGAACGAGCCCGTGGTGACGGAAAAGCTCGTGGGATGGGTTGGTTGGTTTTTGTTAAACAGCTCGTAGCCGAAAGAGTCGAGGTCAGGGATCCTGGGCTCTGGTGTGCAGGAGCATCCTGGTGAGGGCACAAGTGGGTCCCGTGCAGGAGAGGGCTGGTTGGTGGCAGCCAGGTGACCGAGAGCCTCTTTTCCCAGCTTGGGGGATGCTCTGGCTCCTGGAGCTTTGCCATTCGGCACGTCCAGAGGCCGATCTTTTAAAATCTCCACCCTGCTCCGCTCTGCAGCGGTGCAAACAGGCGCCAGTTTACAGCGTTTCAGGGGTTTTCCAGCTTTCCTCGCAAACCGAGGATGGGCACCCCGAGCTGGGGACGGGGAGCACCCACAGCTCTTGCACTGGGGTGGGGTGGGGGGAGCTTTGAGCTGTTTGCCAGAACCGGAGGGTAACAATGATAATTAGGACACCGCGCTCCTTCCCCGCAGCCTCCCCTCAACGCCCAGATGCTTGCCCAGCGCCAGCGCGAGCTCTACAGCCAGCAGCACCGGCAGCGGCAGCTCATGCAGCAGCGAGCCATCCTGATGAGACAGCAAAGCTTCGGAAACAACCTCCCTCCCTCCGCCGGGCTCCCGGTACAGATCGGAGCCGCTCGCTTGCCCCAAGCACCCCCGCAGCAGTTCCCTTACCCCCCAAACTACGGTACGACCCCAGGAAACCCTCCCACCTCCACCAGTCCCTTTTCGCCGTTGGCATCCAACCCCGAGGCCGCGCTGGCTAACCGCGGCAGCATGGTGAACAGGGGGATGATGGGCGGCGTCGGAGGGCAGTTCGGCGCCGGGATGACACCGCAGATGCAGCAGAACATCTTTCAGTATTCAGGATCAGGTACGTGGAGCAGTTGGTCGCATTGGAAAGCCGTCCGGCGGTGGGGAGGGAGAGGCGGAGGGCAGAGCTGAGACACCCCCGAGGGTGCTGCAGCCCAGCCCTGCTCACCCGACAGCCCGGGCTTCATCCCCGGCCATCTCACCCAACCTGCCTACCGGTCTGGTCTCTGGTCTCCGTCTCCCAAAGGGACCTTTTCTAGTCGAATCTCCAAAAGAATAAATTTATCATTTGGGCAAATAATTTCTTAATTCTTTCCTTGAAAATCAAACTACGAGGCAGACCTCTAAATTGCACTTCCTTAAATATATACACTCTGAAAAAGGCCTGAGCCTGGCTGAGATGGCTGAAACGAGCCGCAGGCAGCTTATGCCTCTTGCGTGGGCACCGAGCCCCTTTGAGATGGGTCAGCCGGCACGGAGTGGTGTGCAGACGGGCACTGTCTTGAAGGTCTTCGCGTTCGAGCATCAGTGCGAGGGCTCAGCAAGGTGGACACCAGTGATGAGTAAAGGAAACGGCGCTGTGGCTGCAGCAGCCCCGCAGGAACCTCCTTTGGCATCATCTCACCATTACCCGGCTATTTTCCAGCCAGGTGTGATGCTAAAGAGGAACAACTGCTGTTGGAAACTACTTGAGGGGGGAGGTGATGCTCCTTCATCCCTGAAATATTTACATTTGAGCGATACAGCTGCTCGAAATGAAACCCAGAGGCCCCGAGAGCAAAAGGCAAGGATGATAGTTCTGGTTCGATGCCAGCGGTTGCAAGGGAGGAGGGAAGGGAGGCTGCTGGCGGGGGGCTTGGCACCGCTGACGCCGTCTCTCCTTCCCCCAGGCATGGGGCAGCAAAGCGAACCCGCCTTCGCCCCGTCGCTCAGCCCCAGCAGCCCCTTGATGTCACCCCAGCTCCCGCCTTCGCAAAGCCCCATGCTGCAGCCGGCTCCGCCGACACCGGGCTACCAGTCGCCTGACATGAAGACCTGGCAGCAAGGAGCCATGGGGAACAGCAAGTAAGATCATGGTGGGCGCGACCTGGAGCGCACGGGTGACGTAGATAGAAGGCGGCAAGGTGACACCGAGGTGATGGTCCCCTGGTAGGGTTTTGGCAGGGGTGGCCGTGCCCGTAGGTGACACCTGGCTGAGGACACGTGCTGAGCTCACGTCCTCCAGAAGTCACCGTCAACCCATGTCTTCGTCTTTGCCTCAGCTGGGAGGTGGCTAGAGCCCACAGCGTTTAAATGAATGAGACATGAAGCAGGTCTTTGGCTTTTAATTAAAGAAGTGGCTTAATTATGTCTCGTGAAAGCGGCCTTAGGAAACATGACAATAAATTGAGTCAAGACCAGCAGTCCCAGGTCACTGTGTGACCCTCTTCAGGTGTGTCCAGCTCTGACGTTGGGAAGCAAATGGGAAGAGTCACCAAACTTGTTGCCTTTTTTTTGCACAAGTCAGGTTTGAGCTTCAGATCTCCAGAAACAGGGAAAAACCAAACCCCAGAAGCTCACCTGGGGGATGCCTTGCTTTGTGAATCGGCTCTGTGCAGGTAGCTCAGCAGGAGCACGGAGCAGGAGCTTCCTGGGCTGGGTGGGATGAGATGAGAGCTCTGTTGGAGGTGGGATGCTTCGCCTTGTCTCGTGATGAAGAGCTGTCCTCCCACCTGGAGAAGAAGTGGGGATGGTTGGGTGTTGAGGAGGGCACTGGAAGGAGCGGGAAGGGGTGAACTCGGTGTCACACAGACTGGGCATTTGCATCCCACTGACCCTTAATCCAGACCAAAGCCCCGTACTGATCCCTCTCTTGGTGCTGGTGTCTCTCCTGCTCTACCCCATCGCACCGAGGAGCCTCCCGCTACAGCAGGAGCGAAGAGGAGATGCCTCTGCAGCGGCCCCCTCCCTCCACGCCTCCGCGCTGGTGAAACCTTGCTGCAGGCAGCACCTCTAACGCCTCCCGGTCCCTCCTGCTGTCCCCAGGGACCTACAGGCCTTCCGTCCGCTCCGCTGGCTCTCTGCCGCGGGCGGTTTCGGCGTTCACCGAGAGGCAGGCTGGCTGCCGTCGCGGCTCGGGTCACCCAAGGGCGCAGCGCGTACCTGGAGGTGCCTCCCACCACCACGTAACACCTGGGTAATGCTTTTTTCTCTCTCTCAGCGTATTCAGCCAAGCGGGGCAGAGCCAGCCGGCGCCTGCTCAGCAGGGCATGTACAACAACATGAGCATCACCGTCTCCATGGCGGGAGGAAACACCAACGTCCAGAACATGAACCCCATGGCCGGACAGATGCAGATGAACTCGCTGCAGATGGCCGGGATGAACTCCATGTGCTCGGAACAGGTCAGTCCCGCACCGTCCCTGCTCCCGGGACGGTCAA